AGCCATCAACTTTACTTTGGTTTCGTATCTACATAACGATTGCTTTAAAAAAAAAAATTAAGCTCATTCATGGGTAAACCTTCACGAACGTTGCCTAGGGATTAAATTGGAAAATTTAAATATATATTATCATAAGACTTATTAACACCCTTGTAAGCAGCATAATCTATGCTGTTATTTCTTTCTAATTCTCCTTTTAGATGATTTAGGATTTTACTATTAAAAAACTCAGTATACTCTTTTTGAAAAGTAAATATAACGTTATTTATTAAAAAGCTAATATCTTTACTAAAAATATAAGAACAAACGTCAGTTGTTTCTTATTTATTTGGTTCTTATAATTATTTAATTCGTCCTTCTTGAATATCTTACAGTAATTTTCTAATATCATGTTAGTTAAACGAATATTGATTTTAAGTTATAGAATATAAAGAAATGACCAAAGATACAATTATTCAACAATTTTTTGCATAATTATGCTTTTATTACTATTTTTTTAAACTAAAAGAATCTGTTTAAACTCGCCTAAAAAAGAAATTCGTTTATACCAAATACATATTTGTATCACAAAAATCATGTAATGTTCTTTCATCTATTACTAAGGCTCTTTTGGGGATCATAAAAGCGTTGTTTCATAAAACTAAATGTACTTCTTCTTTTTTTTTTCAGATTAAAATTCCAAGTACCAACTTCCTGCATTGTTTAAGTCTAATGGTCAACAAAATGCTCTATCACTGATTATTTCTTCGGAAGTTATATTGATGCTATACCAGTCCATACCATACATAAAACTTTTTTTTATTAGTAATGGGATGATACATTAACGTTTTATGCATAAGTGTTTTTTCTGAACCTCCTGGGTCACCAATAAAAAAAATTTATCTGTTTTTTCACATGTATTTTTAAAAATCGTCATTTATCATTAGAGAGATTCATTACAGCCAGAGAGTATAATCACCTCTTTTTCATTTTTACAACATCTCTGAATATTCTTATCTTCACTAAACGTAAGGCTGTTTCATTTTTTAATACATATTTTTTTCTGAATTATTATTTTACTGGTCTTGTTTTACTATATATAATACTGCAAAAAAAATGTTTATCATTAGAAGTGGGCTTATTCGATTTGATAACGTATGGACTTGGACTTGTAAGGAACTCTTGCACTATTAAATAATCACATTACGTCAATAAATCAAAGTCACAAAACTTGAAAGTTGGAATGACAGTCTATCTTCTTAAAGAATCCTCAAACAAAAAGTAAGACAGATTTTATAATGAATCGAAAAACAAAAAGATATCATTAAAAGCGTTATATTAGAATCAAAAGAGAGAAGGATAACCAAAAAACATATTTACTAAGTAAAAGGCTGCTACCTATAAAAAAAATCTTACTCACATATTCCGTTATTATATATAAAATTTATACTACATTTCGTTTCCGGGACTGCTTCAAATAATAGATCCCTAGGCAGGAACGTCTAAAAAAAACGTTGGCATAAAAAAATTAATGACATCGTTCCTCTTCTCTTCATTTTCGTTTTCTTTGGTAGTGCATGAACCACAATCTTACAATAAAAGCAAAAAATGCTACCACCTTATTGACTGCCTGTCTCTGAAGAAACGATTAAACTACATAATGAATTTAAAGCTTTAACCATCAGACGAACAAAAAAAAAGTTTGTCTAGGAAAAAAACATACGATGTTATTTATTTATCTGTTATATTATACATAACAGACACATTTTTACTTAACAGCTTGTAACCTATATTGCTCTATGATAAAAGGAAAAATGTAACATAATTGATTTATCATTTTCCCAAAATTAAAAAAAAAAAAAAACTCACATCCAAGACAATATTGTAATAACTCATCTTAACTTGCGTGCATTCTCAATCGATCTATAATTGCTGAGGGTGGCAGAAATTTAAAAAGGAAGGTGTTACAATATAAGTTGATACAGCCAAGTGACACTTTGAGTAAAAATGCAACTTATTTGTTAAATTTGTACAAGATATAATGTGTATATACACAATCTGATATGAGAAGTAGAGCTGATACGTGATTTACATGCATATATGTATTTTTGTTTCAGGGATCATATTACATAATATGCTGACGTATAATACGGCCAGCATCGTTGCAAAAATGTATGTCTGTATTGAAACGTTACGTTACATGTTTGAATGTATGAATAAATCGTATTGTATGTGAGAATAAATAGACCATCTGCTCATTGCTTGTCTATTTCATATGATATGTACCAGTTTTAAACTTGTACTTACAGAATTATTTTATTACATTTAAAACTAACTGTATAATTCTCAAAAGAATAAACTACAAAGTTTTTTACCTGTCAAGTCAAACTTAAGCTTGTGTTAAATATTTCTTTTATTCCTAATGCAAGCTTGCATTGTCACTGATCAAAAATCTCAGTCAAAAGTGACAAAAAAATTGTGGTTAAAACTGTTCTATATTATCAAGTCACACAGAAGCGTGACGAGGTAAGTCTTGGACAGCAGACAAAGCATTGGCAATTCAGCTGCGATTCACTTTAGATTTGCGAACTTAAATTCTCGAATATCGGAAAATAAGTATTTTTACTAGTATGCCTAAAGCATTTGATTTAATTCAATCTTATTATTTTCATATTACAGTTTAACCGACAAATATAGGCAATAAGTCAATCACAACAACAAAAAAGGATATNTTATCTTGCAACATTTTTTTTTTAATGATATAAATTTTTTTTAATTATTTTTTTTTAATTTTATCTTTATTTCTACTTCAATATTCCGTAATTAGTTATCATGCCCACCATTATTAATATTAGGAAAAGTAGTTAATTTAAAAGAGTATTTTTAATAGATCGAGTACAATGTATATATATATATATATATTAATACTAAATTGTTATTTCTACTAATCTTACACCTAATTTATTGGCAAAGTGCGAGTATTGAAAGTAAAGCACCTTGCCAGTTTAGCTGACACTCTCTGCACCAATAGTGCATTGGGTACACTCACTACTGCGTAGCCCTTTTCTGAAGAAGACTTCATATTTTAGGACTTCTACTTCTCACCGGTTAAGTCAGTGGTCTCTGCCGAAGCATCAGATCCAGGCTAATTAGCGTCCCCGGAGAAGCCCCATGTTTCAGGGACCACTCCTTGCCTGTAAGGCCGGCGATACCTACTTGGCACATTGGATCCGCTAACTCCTACCTACAGCCCTAACACTGTTTCGCATTTACCCAGGCCCGAAGATCTGTGGTGCAAGGAAAAAAACCTAGAATTCCCTGAAGGAAAGTTTCATGGAAAAACCTACCCCGAAACAGCCGGGGTTATATAGGACCTCTTCCCGATAAAAACAGTTTTTGGAAAATCTGCATTCACCTGGAATTGAGCCCATGACCCCTAGAACCACGTTGTATCAATAACGAGCACGCTTACCATTGAGATAACGCCACACCTAACAGAATTCTTGTACTTAACTTCTTTTTAACAACTCCACTTGTTTTTATCCATTATTTATTAACAGTAAGCGTTACATTTAACTTATGACTTATGACTGAAGACTAAAAATTAAGTTGTTGTATTGAATCACTTAATTGTTATTTTGAGATAGTAAAGTTCGGGATTGAGGCACAAAACCTGCAAGAATGTTAAGCCTCACTTGTACGTATACTAGCAGAGCTCTACCTCTTACACGCTCTGCACGTTAGATCCCCAGTACTCAAACTTTACCAAAATGTCTTTTTATTTAATATACAAAATGGAAGCATATGTCGAATCAAAACTTTTTATTTTATCTTGTCGACCGCACCGTGCTACACAACACTACCAAGGCACATAAGAGAAGAGAAAAGACCTTTTAACTTTGATCTTTGTTCTACACCTAATTTAACAAAAAAAAAGCAGAGACTCGACTTTTTTAAGAATTGAGCCAGTAATCTTTTGCACACTAGCTAAGTACGCTCTTCACTCTGCTACTACTAGTTTTGGTGTTGTTAGTAACTTATCTTTAATTTTAATACTCATTTGTTAATTAACAACAATTTAAGTTTAATGGTATTTTATATAAACTACTAAATTGATAATTAAATTTTTTTCATTTTTATTATAATCTCATGGTTATTTTTCTAATAACACAACAAATGTTCTTATGTTACCTGATTCTTAGTTGCATACGTATTATAAGTTTATAACGTATAACCAAATAATGATAAAATTCATTTTAGTTTCATTCTGTCTCAATTTTAGTACTATAAATCTTCAACAAAGGAATATTGTTACATTAGAATATTATAAGCATTAGAATAACATATTAAAATTATTATATTAAATATTGTAAAAACAATTTTTATTACATTAAGGTGTAAAAGGCTTTATAATATTGACACTAAATTTTGCTTTAAACTCCGTGTAATCATAAATGTTTTTAAAAGGTTTAACCAAAAAAAAACAAAAAAATTTATTATTATTCAAAAATACAGATGTCTTGTTATTAAAGAATAAAATGATAATTAATAGAACAACTTTTAAGAAAGTATTTATAATCATATCTTTATCTACGTATTAGAATTATAAGTGAAGTCAATTTTTTTTTTTTTTTTCCTACAATACTTTTGATTTACGAAGGATCTTTCTTAATTTGAGTACGTAAATTTGTTTTGTTAAAACTTTATGAAACTGTATTTCATTGGCTGTAAAAGAATACTGGTTTTTTTTTAGTATGAATTTTGAGTCCAACTTTTTTTTCAATTCATTTTTTTTTTTTTCTTTATAAATTGTTTTTTTTTTACGTTGTGCTTCAAGAATTCAGTAATTTCCTCTAAAGTACTATTACATCAACCACCTAATATGCTCCAATTTCAAATAGCATTATTCTGCTCATTCTCAATCTGAGTTTATAAAGCGATAAGCCTTCAGGGATACTATTTAAAATATCAATTGAAGAATTCACATAAATAATATTGTCTAGCTTATTGTGAGCAGTACGATGTCGAACACTACTTACCCTCTAAGATCAGAGGGTGGTCATCCACTCTCTAAGAACTTGAAAAACATCTGGCAGAGACGGTATTTCCAACAGTGTCAGGAGATTTCTCTCTCAGAAATTCATCACGGCAATTCACAACATCACAAACGCCATGATTCACCTTCGTTACTTATAAAGTGTGTGGAAGAAGGCTATGATGATCTGTCTCCAAAAACCCGTCAGCAACCCCTCGAGCCACAGACTCATTAATTTATGCTTTTTGCCCAGTAAAATCACGGAAAGCATCTTCTTCACCCACCTAAACAAGCAGGAAAATTTTTTAGATCCTGACATTCTGCTGTACACCACTTTCAAAGAGTCACTGAAGACCTTTCCAATAGCTTTATCAACAAAAACTTAAGCAGGCTAGCTTTCCTAGATGCACAGCAGGCCTTTAATAGAGTTAAGCACGAGGACCTCCTTTACAAGCTTATTAAACTAGGTTTTCTGCATTACCTCAGCGGTAAGGTCAAGTCTTATCTCTCAGACAGATTCATCTGCGTAAAATCCGGCAACTCCCTCCAAGACCCCAAGCCAATAACTCCCGAAGTCCCCAAAGGATCCAAACTCACACCCACCTTCTTCAACATATTTTTCCATGGCATGCCCCAGTGTGAAGACATCAACACGTAAGTTTATTCAGACAATGTCGTGGTCAGCTGTACATCATAACAACACTCTCAGTGTACCACCCTTCTAAACAAGCATATCGTCACTCTCCATAACTGGTGTAGTCTTTGAAAACTGGTCGTAAATGGGGCAAAGACTACAGCCATAATTGTCTTCTGGAAGAATCCAAGGAAGAAACTGCAGAAGATAAAGATCAACAGAGTAGAAATTGACTAGAACTACTCCACCCAGTACCTCAGCATCACGCTAGACCGTTGACTTACGTACGTTCGTAACATTAACTGCACACGTGGCAAGGCATACGGAGTCTTGGTGCAGCTAAGGCCCTTCGGCAACAAAACACCAGACTCCCAGAAAACTAAGCTGCGCATCTACAACTCCATCATCTACGCCATCAGTATTAACGATATATCATCGTAGGGCACTGCAGGGAAACCGACTAAAGAGCATCCGAGGTACTTTCATGAAAATACTGAGGTTGTTCCTGGGTATTCTATGGTTCATCAGAAATCATAGAATTATTAAGAAGTGAAGCATCATCTTTCCAATTCAAGCAGCCCCTGTTCTTTTGTCTTAAATCTGCACCTACATTACGGACCACCCAAACCCTACTATCATTGCACTCACGAACCTCCAACCTGGGCACTTTGACCTTATATAACATTCATGCGCTCTCGCGTGGAACACTGAGTCTGCCAGATACTTTATGGCCTCAGAACTATACAACACTTATACAATTACAAGTACGCTTCTAAATACACAATACACAGTAGACTTACATCTCACTCAGCTACAAGTGCCCAACCCATGTTGAACACTTATTAACTCTCTTGTAAGTAGCGTTATTTTAGCTGTTATATGTTTTAATTGTTCCAGGAAGTTTTAAAAGAATTATTTTACTTAAGAAGCTAAAATACTTATAATGTGACACAAGTGTTACGTACAATATACAGGATGCAGCATACACACGTCCCCTGGTAAGAGTGAGGCTACTTTTAAAAAAGGGGAGCAATAAAAGCTAAACAAGGTAGTATAAAGCTTAGCAGGTATGAAATTTCAGCAGTCAAGCGTTATCACTGAAAACGGGCGTTATCAGGCCACTTGAGTGTTAATAAATTAAGACATTGGGTGACAATTATGGGAGAACGGGAATGCACACGTTCAACTTTGTCTTATAAATGTAGTAACCTGAATAATGGTGAAAAAATTAATTATTGTCGCTACGCACCACCTTACCAATGTCTCTTTTCCCCAACAAACTTAAAACTAGGTGTAGAATCTCCTAAGAGTCAGAGTTTTCTTTTTCTCTTATTTCTCGTTTCAAAAATTTCACTGAAAAGCACACACAGTGCAGTGGAGTAACAGAACTAGAATACTCATTGCTGATTACCACAGTATCAAGGAGATAAATGGCAAGCGCTGAAGGGAAATGGTCCCTAAAATTTCATTTCTACTAGTGAGCATATCAAGTAGTACGTAACTACATATATATTAAAATTAATTTTATCCCTTACTCCCAAGGTGAGATAAGGGAGGCACCTATTAGGCGAAGATAAGGAAGTAGGCAAATTTTGTTTTTAGTACATATTTATTATTTCATCCCCTTCCTCTTTTAAATGTCTTTTTTCTCTTAAAACCTGTAACTAAAAAAAACGTGAAATAACAGACCTAAGAACGCAGTGGACAAAGATAATTTCTGCATAACAAACGTAGAACAAATAGTTACAGTTAGTAGGCTTCGTAACGACACAGTAAACATGTGTACATGATAACTCAAACCCGTATAGGCTTGAAAACTTATCACTATTTTTATTATCTTTTTTTTTTTTTTTTTTTTTTTTTAACGAAAATAGACAACAGATAATTCCAAAAGAATATTTCTTTCTGCTTACCACCAAACAAAAATATAGTGCAAAATTAAAAAAACCAAGTGAAAGACGAGCACTGGACATTAACTTTCTTATCTCACCTTTTATTATACTTTTAGTCCGATTACTTTTAAGATACGGCATAGGTAACAACACGCAACTCTGTAACAAGAAGAGTACGTAAGATTTATCATAATTAGGGGTGAAGTTACAGCTCACTACATATGTAGGTAATTCTGTTGTAACTTGCTCAGATCGACTTAAAAAATTGTTCAATAAGAAGTTGCTTGAGAAAAAATTTTTTCGTGGTGTTTCTACTGCACACAACATTAGTAACAAATATCTAAAAGGATGCAACTACAATATTAACTAGTCAAAAGTTATAAAAAATTTTATAAAAGTAAACTTTTATCGATTTTTGAATAATTGTATCTCTTTCTAACACGTGTAGCTAAGCTTCTTCAACAATTCGAGTGTTCTTACTGGGCTTGAATAAAAGGTGGGGTCAAGACCCATTCATTAAAAAAACATTTTGTTTGATTTTATGCCTCCATTCAATAGTTACGGCTGTTTCAATTAGAGCGTAAATATCGCTAAAAATGTGATTTTCGCTAAAATTCAGTATTTTTTATAAAATCACAATAACTTTTTATTCGGGGCATAAGATTCAATGATTTGTGTTTTAATCATTACGACAATGTTTTTGGTTTTATTTAGGCCCATATAAAGCCACCTAATGGAGTGCACCACTTGGCTACCGACGTTGGAAGTATCATCACCGTTTAGGCATTTGTGTAGCGAAAAGAGGCCAATTGGACGAAACCCCGAGATACATGTCTCGTCTTTTAGCCCAACAATAATGGAAAAAATGTTGGCTGAAATTGATTGCTCTAAAACGAAAAAAATGGTACTTTGAGGTTCGGTACGGTCAGAATGGAAGAGTTTGGAATGGAATTTTCAATGTTTATAGTGCTCGTATGACTCATAGACGTATTACAATGACTTGTCCACCCATACTTAATTTACTATCCTCAAATGCAATAAAAACTGTAGTTTATGTATCTACACACGTACACCGAGTAGTTGTTCCATGGGGGGGGGGGGGGGGTTGGAATGGAATAAAATGTTTGTACTCGAGAATTACGCAAAAGAAGAGCTTGTCTATTCGAGACGTAACCACTTCTGGTACTACTGTCTTGAGAATTAGTTAATTATAGTCCAATACCTTAAAAAGTGAGCATTGGTGAGCATTTATCATCCAAAAAATTACTAGTTCGAACTGATTTTTGTTGAAACCGTTATTATGGTGTAAATATGTGGACAAAATGTATGCAGTGAAAAATCACTCGTCTTTGTCAGTTTCAGGTGGGACTAAGGTACAAATTCTATCCCCAATAGCTAAAGTATATAGTGCTAACACATCCAAGTGGAAAATGAGCCTTATTTTTTACCAGTGAAAGTTTTTATGTGTAAAATTGAGTTGTGGACATGGCTCAGAATGGAAAATTCGACTCTGAATGATCAATTATCTTAATAAGAAATTAACATATCGGTATTAGACAATGTGTCAAGTGAAGTTCACAACATTTAACACAGTTTGAGGTTTTTAAAGTTTTGGATTTCATTATGGCATGCAAGTGCGAATACCGGACACAATCTGAGCAAGATACGGCAGAATCACCCATATATATAGAAGAAGAATAAGAACTCATTTCAGCGATATTATCTATCAGTTGGAAAGTGATAACAAAGGCCAGGTAATACTATAATAACTAAAATGAGTATGTCAGGGCCCAATAAAAAGCAGCAAAAGGAACATATAACGGATTATATAGTGAAATAAAAGCTCGAATAAAAAAGGTGTAAGAAACTTGTCACCCTGGACGAAAAAACTAAGGTAATAGTTATGGGCTTATTTTCAAAGTTTGGAGCAAAGTTAAAGAAAATAGAAGAGGCAGATTGCTCTCACAAAGTGATCATTGAGACCATTTGGAATTCACTACCTTTAAAACTATGAAATCATATTACTTATAATTAAAAACTAGAAATAAAGTTATTGTATTGGATCACACAATTTTTATTGTTGAATAAAAAAGTGTGGGGTTAAAGCACGAAGCGCACGGAAGTATAAAGCCTTACTAGTGTATACATACACTAAAAGGGCTCTACCTTCTGAACGCAGGGGTAGACTTAGAGGAGGTGGATGCCCCTCATAAGATGGTCACAGAGACCATTTAAAATTCACCCTCGGCAAGTAGGGATCTCAGGGATATATCTTTGAGACAAACGTAAACACAGGACTAATAAACAAAGAAGCGGGTTCTTTTTCTGGCAAACGAATAATCCAGTGAGATTTAGGAAGTGCTGAAGAAATACACAGAGCTTGAACAGACAAAATTATGCCACGGATGCAATAGGGCATGCCAGAGAAACCAAAGTGGTCAACTTCTATTGCATCCTGTTACTCATATAAAGGGTCAAGAAGCCCCAAGACAAGAGACTTACATAAGCAACTATGAGACGGAATAAAAGATATGAGGAAGGAACTTGAAAAAATGAAGAAAGCAGCGTTTATGGTAACAGTACCACCACTTACAAAATACACAATATCATGGCCTAATATACAAAAGATACTTACGCTACACACAACAGTAACCATTTACGCAGACTGCAGAATGTGCAACAAAAGATTCTTTCCACGCTCAGCTATATGACGGATAACATCCCGTACTTCAACAGGGACTCAGTCAATCTATAGTTGTTTCAGAAAATGAAGCAACTGGCTGGACAAACAATAGGACTGAAAAACCAATTATTTTTTTTAAGGCATCCTCGCGAATAGACTGAAAGAAATAGCAGTAGAACATTTTGCTCCAAGATAAACCTAACTTAGAACTGTTGAAAAGTAAATAATATATCTTTTAAATATATACTGCAGTAGTAACAACGCAGAAACTCCCATGGCAAAATCAGAAGCAATAGCTCAAATTAATAGCGAAGCAATAGACGACTACTGTGGATGAGTTCAACAGTTGTATAGTAGGTTAACGATATTATAGGATTTAAACTCATACTTTTCTCCAATTCAAAAACAGACGCTGAAAGAAAACTTGGAATTCAGGGTGGTAACACACTTTATATATAGATTACTTCCAACTTTCAATTGGAGAATGGCAAGCTCTAACCTGACAATACAAGGGAAAGCTATTATAAAGGCACTGAAAATAAATGGCATTCTTTATTTACGGCACAGAATACCAGCAACTGCCCGGATACAACAAGGCAACAACCGAGTGAGCCAGTAGGTATCAAGTAGCTATTATCAGCGTGACTTATGGAGCACGCAAAACATAAGGCACAGTATAGGTTCAGTGGCACAAATTGAAGCGCACAATACATGTTGTCCCCCATGAATTTTAATTGACGTAAATTGTATTATACGGTATAATACTTTTGGGTAATACTGGAGCCAGATTAGCACTGCTAAGAATATGATTAGATTAGATGACGTAGAGATACCGCTGTTAAAGCTGGAATGTTTTAAAATGCCTGAGAAATTGAGACAAATAATAGACTCGCTAATAAAAAAAAGCAAGATTAAAGCAGAAATAGGCTAAATACCACTTTAGGCGATAGAGGAAAAAATATTAGATAAAAAATTTGTAGCCAGAAATATCAAAGGAAGAACAGTCGTACAATTAATCGATATGACGGACGAGATGAAATACGTGCCTGTTTCGAAAGTATAGCTGCTAGATAACAAAGTCATTGACCAGAAGCAGTCAAAAGACTTACAAGAGGACAATGTCAAAAGCAAAAAATACACAGAGGCAAGCAGGGACAGAAGGACACAAATCAGCCAGAAAAAGAGAAAAACCTTATTATGCACATGTATTTAAAGGAGTATTTGAAAGAGACAGTACTTAAATCAAACATTTAAAAGTATATTAAGGCCCTCAAAAAGGTAATATTAGCAAATAAAATAAAAACGATTTGGATCGTTAGGGACCTAGAAATTTTTTATCCAACCCAGTGGGAATACTTTATTAATGACTTTGAGGCAATATTCAAGGACATTAGACTAGCAGTGGTACTCTACACAACAATTCTAGTAACCTTATCAGCAGACTAAAGATTCAATATCATTAGAAAATACTACGTAGCGACAGTAGGCTGACATAGGGGAATGAACATGACATATAACAAGATCGCCAAAGAAAACTACTAAGAAAATATGCACCAAGGTAAGAGACAAGTCGTCTTGAGATGCAAATCATGCCAAACGAAAAAACTCTTCCGAATGAAAACGAAACAATTACTGCTTATTACAAACATACCAAGTTGACCGTTCGAAAAGATTATTGTAGACTTCTACGGCCCCAGCAGTAAGCTCTCAGCAAGCCAGTACACACACATACTATTTATACAAGACTGGCTAACGAAGTTTGACATCCTTACACCTGTACAAAGAGCAACAGCCGAAGAAATAGTAAAAACGATTACAGATAAATTAATAGGATACGTTGGGACACTAGAAAACATAATATCGAACTGAGGCAGTCATTGTATAAAAAAAAGCATGAATAAACTTGCATGAAGGTTAGAAATAGATAAAATGGATAGCATATCATTCCACCCACAAACGTACGACGCCAGTGAACGTATGACTTATACTCTCTGTTTGTAATTCGCGCCTCCTGCCATGGATGAGGGGCACTACCGGCAGAAGCAAGAGGTGTGGATACTTTGGTGAGGGGACCGTTAGCGAAGAGATATAGGAAGAAAGGGTGCGTGAGTCACGTGTTCGACCTGTATTACATAACTCTGTATTCTACTCAACAAACTAATAAAACCAAAGCTGTACTACAATACTTAATACTATAATAAAATGAACAATTTCGTCTTTCGAGCCGGATAAGAGGCAACCACGACGCCAACAGCATACAGCAGTCTTGGTCAACCCAGAACATCCAGGATCGCTCGCACTCTCGGGCCTTGTAAGTAAACATGCTAAGAGCGAAACATCTCTGCGTCTGAGAACGCATCGAGACGTTGGAGCCTTGAACGCACGCGATGCATACGACGGTCAATTTGTGACATTGAGCAGCGAGGTTATAAGAACGTCAAGGGTTGCGACGACCTCGACAGATCCTGCTGCGTAGTCTGTTCAGCGCCGTGAGCACGGCCACTATTTTGCATCCAAAGGGATCTGCATTGCATTGCACATCACACGCGGCTTGGTGATGAGACCGTGATCTCCCACTAAATCAGCGACAACCAGGTTGCTCGTGCTGACGTACGTCGCGCGACTGCCATAGCCACGACACAGCACGATCGGGGGCTTCGTGTGCGACAAGACTCCGCTTGGCTGACGAGCGTCGAGCTCACAACAATATGTTCTTTTATGGAGGACAGTAACTGGGCTGATTTGCTGACGACTCATCAGAGCTTGTTGGAGGTCTTGGGTCAGTTCGACCAAGCAGTCAACGGTGTCGATGTCTGGAGCCTAGGGCACGCGGAAGCCAGGATTGATCTACTCAGCAGCTATTGGAGCAACTTTGTGGCAAATCATCAAGTGTTGAATCGAAACCCCCCCAAGGACAAGAAAGTAACAATAAAACAGCTTTATACCTCTAGCGAGGGTAATTACCTGGAGGCCAAGTCACGACTACTCGATGCTAAACTTGGACTCGTTCCCCCTCCTCCACCAGCTCTAGGAGGTAGCTCGCAATCGAGACACATGGGCCCTCGCCTACCGAGCATCACCATCCAACCTTTCTCTGGCCGGCGCGAGGATTGGCAGTCCTTCAGAGACCTCATTCATGCTATCATCCACCAGGACGCACGACTCACTGACGTCGAGCGACTTTATTACCTGAAATCGAACGTACAGGGTAAAGCAAAAGCAGTGTTGGACACATTGCAACTCGTCGGCTCCAACTTCACCACGGCATGGAGTTTGTTGACTTCTAGGTTCGAGCATCATCGACTTCTCGTGCACGACCACATCATGGCACTGAGAGGGCTCAAGCCTGAGGAGAGAGCCTGACCAGCGCGACAGCATTCGTCCGCTTGTTACATCGACGGCTGCAGCGCGTCCCGGCCATGGCTGTCGAGTGTGCCCACTTCATGACAGAGTACATCAGTCATAGACACATGCGACAGCTGAGCGATGAGGAGTTGCTACCAAAGACGGACACCGTGCACTACTTTCCGCACCACGGGATCTGGCAAACTGGCGATTTGCGGAAATGACTGCGTGTCGTATTCGACGCCTCGCGGCCAAACTTGACAGAATACAGTCTCAACGACGTGCTGCACACAGGACCGAAACTCCAAACCTGCCTGCCCAGAGTCCTCCTGCGTTGGAAAAGGCACCGAATCGCTTTTTGCGCAGATATACAGATAATGTTTCACCAGATTCGTGTCAACGAACGAGACGTTAACCTCTAGCGAATCCTTTGGAGCGCCAACGACTCTAGCCCACCAAAACATTTCCAGTTGCTCACCATGACCTCTGGCGAAGCGAGCGCCCCGTACCATTACGAACGATTCTGCAGCTGTGCGAGGACGAAGGAAACGCCAGGCCTGAGGCTGTGCCTATCATCAAGAACGATCAGTACGTCGACGACATTCTCTCTGGTGCCAATGACGTCGAGACAGCCCGGCTTCGTCGAGATCAGTTAATCGGACTGATAAACGCTGGATGTTTCCCACTTAAGAAATGGGTGTCCAACGAACCCAACCTCCTGCGCAATAATCAAGAGGACTCTCGTCTCAGGCCAACTTGGCGACAGCTTAGTGTGGACGGGTTTGTCAGCGAGATTGGAGTCAGCTGGGACCCACTCATCGACTGTTTTCACATGACCCCACCTCCCATGCGATCTCAGTACACTGAACGCTCTATGCTCGCCGCCCTCGCCAGCCTTTTTGATCCTTGTGGATGGATCGATGGATCGCACCCACAGTCCTCGTGGCGAAGATGATCATCCAAGACCTTTGGCATGCGAAACTAGACTGGGACGAATACGTACCAGCTTCCCTAGCTCAACGATGGCGGGACTCCTCCACTCAACTGCAGGACATCTCTGGCTTGACCATTCCCCGCTGGATCAGCAGCCACACCGCAGCCATGCTACAGCTACACGCGTTCGCAGATGCCAGTCGCCGAGCAATAGTAGCCGTTGTGTACTCACGAGTCGAAGACCCAGTCCACGGGATTTGCGCACGCATTCTGTTATCCAGAGCAAAACTAGCTTCGATCAAGAGCTTGCAGCCAAGTAACTCACGACCCACGCGGATGACGATACTTCGGTTGGAACTACGCGCTGCACTATTGGCTACCAGACTCCTTGCCACTGCCGCCAAGGAGTACAGTATCAGCGAAGAGCACTGTCATGCTTGGAGCGACTCACAGATAGTGCTTTATTGGATCCGCTCGTCCGAGCCCACCAACAACTCGCTGGTGGACAATTATGTGGCGCACATTCAGGAGTTGTTACCCTCGCATATCTGGAGGCACGTTCCCACGGACTCCAATTCCGCGGATGTGGCGTCTAGAGGAATTGATTTTCCCTCGCTCCAACGCAAGCGTCTGTGGTGGGAGAGCCCCGCATGGTTGATGTCGCCACCAGCGTCGTGGCCGATCGGAACCCCAAATACCACTGACTTAGGTCACCATCCCATTGATGCATCTGATCACCTGTGCGGGGCCACTCAGCTCAACGAGACACACATCTTGGATCGATTTTTGGACCTTGATCACTTGCTGCGCTTTTTTGTGCGATTGCGTCGATGGGTTCGATTCAAGCTTCAGCGTGATGCCACCTTACCGGTCCTTGCAGGAATGACGGCCACCGAATTACGTGACGCCTATTTCGCCTGCGTTCGTCTCAGTCAGCGAGAGTTTTTCTCCATGGAAATCGAGAGTCTCCAAACAGGAGACCGCGTAGCAGCCAAGAGACCACTGCTAACCCTTGATCCGATCATCGCTGACGATGTGCTCCGGGTGGGCGGCCAACTTCAGCACTCTACGCTTTGCTTCGACGAACGACATCCACCAATTCTGGAGGGCCGATGCCCTTTAGCGAAGCTGGTAATACGCTGGGCCCATGTTCAAGCATTGCACGGAGGAGCCTGGTTAACTAGCGCATTTGTCGCCCGTAAAGCCTGGATCATCGGTGGGCGGCGCCAAATCAAGAGCTTCTTCAATAGGTGCCTCATCTGCACTCGCTTGCAGGCGCGGCCAGCCACTCAACATATGGCACCATTGCCAGCTGCTCAAATTACTCCCACTCGTGCATTTCAATGCACTGGTGTGGACTACGCCGGACCTTTCAACATATTGTCGGCCAAGGGACGAGGCTTCTGCGCTAGTAAGGGCTACGTAGCCGTGTTCGTCTGCATGGCCTGGAAGGCAATTCATCTGGAGCTCATGGGAGATCTATCAACTGACTTATTTCTTGGAGCGCTAACCAGATTTTGTGCTCGTCGAGGCCGGCCAACCGAGATCTGGAGTGACAACGCCACCTGCTTCCGGGCTGCCGATCGCAAGCTTCGTGACGCCATCCAAGACGCTGAATTGTGCTCAGATCGTATCGCTGGGTCATTGGCCAATCAAGGGATATGTTGGAGATTCATCCCCCCTAGAGCCCCACACTTCGAAGGACTTTGGGAGGCTGGCGTCAAGTCTATGAAAAGCCATCTCCGTCGCTCCATTGGACCCCGTAATCTCATCTACGAGGAGTCTTCCACTGTCCTAAACAGCATCGAAGCCGTGCTTAACAGCCGTCCACTCACGCCGTTGACAGAAGGCCCGGACGATTCTGACTTTCTCACCCCTGGACATTTTTTAGTCAACGGATCTCTAGACTCTGTCATCGACTCCAGCTCTTCGACTCAGAATCTCGATCGTCTCACGCATTGGGATCTTGTACGCGGCATCAGAGCCCAATTTTAGACTCGCTGGAGCCGCGAGTACCTAAACACACTCCAACAGCGGCCCAAGTGGAAGGTCCATCGGCAAAATTTCCAGATCAACGACGTCGTTGCCATGTTGGATCCCACCATCCTCCATTCCAGTGGGTTGTGGCCGCTCGGCCGAATTACCCAGATCCACCCCGGGTCTGATGGACTCGTCAGAGCCGCCACCGTTCAAACCAGTACCGGTGAATACGTTCGCCCCATACGCCAACTCTGCCTCCTGCCCACAAACCCCCTCCCCCCCCCCATCGCTGACGACCAAGTTGATTCAGGCTCAACTGAGCTAGACACGGCGGGCGGAGATTAAGATCATTTCAGAAATGAGGCTGGCAGATTGTTTGTAATTCGTGCCTCCTGCCATGGACGAGGGGTACTACCGGCAGAAGCGGGAGGTGTAGATACTTTGGTGAGGGGACCGTTGGCGAAGAGATATAGGAAGATAGGGTGCGTAAGTCACGTGTTTGACCTGTATCGCATAACTTTGAATTCTACTCAACAAACTAATAAAACCGAAGCTGTACTACACTATTTAATACTATAATAAAGCGAACACTCTCAAGAAGACCATTAAGGCCTATGTAGAAAAATATAGTCACTGGAACAAACGTTCACCTATATACATACACTTATATAGTACCACAGACCGTCAGAATATGGGATACTCACCGCACGAACATGTTTTGGACAAAGAACCAGAACATTATCTTGTATCAAACTGCCACCCTGACAAAAATGAGAACTATTGTCGCAATGAACCAAGTTTAGGTGTAATACCAATCAAAGTATTACTATTACTGCAAACTGAATACAAGATATTTTTCGGAAGCAGAAATGGATTATTTGCTAAACAAACCATTGAAGAGTAAATATAATTCACAATACAAGGAGTGGTATGAAATAACAGGTATTAGTTACATTAACAAAAAGTAAAACTACAAAGAGTCAATAAAATTGGAGTATTGCATGAATATAAAATGAAAAAAGCATGTATGGTTAAGGCACCACCAAAGAATACAAAAAAAATGTGAAACACGAAAGCACAGACTAAAACATTTGACTTTGCTTAAAATTATCGTGGACCTCTGACACAGCCAAAAAATTTAATATGAAAGTTGGATTAATTAAGTTTACGATAAAGTTCTTCGCGGTTTACGGACGCACCGCAAACTAGATATATACATATGTAAGACTCAGATACGCAAGCTAACGAAAGGGGTTAAAGTTACACGAGCTGATAGTTTTATGTACTACAGGTCTAATAAATTCGGGAATGCAGCTCCTTTTCTCACATATAAGTGCCTTCTTCATCGGGCGGCCTAAATATTAATGTATTACATTATTATTACAGGATAACAAAGGACTCCAAAAAAGTTGACCTTGGCCATGAATCATGATTAAAATTCATGATAAAACGAGTATGAGCACTAGAAATTGCTTGATTGGATTGGGTGGCGCAGTCCGTAGGACGAAGACAAAGAAGAATTTCTTTTTCCAAAGTACGTAATGACAGTAGAGTTACGTTAAGTTTAATTATATTCAAAAAAGTACCATCGTTGATCATAACACAAGAAATGAGTTAATAAGAAAATAAGTAGGTATGAGTGCCAAAAGTTATTCTACTATTTGAAGGGGGGGGGGCACAGTCCGGAGGACAAAGACAAGAAATTATTTTCTTTTATCTGTGTAATTTTCTTTAACACTAATGGTAAAAAAGTTGTTTAGACATTTTTTTTGTAAAATAAACAAATGGTTATCAGGCGTCTATAAAATTATGAAATAGAAACTCCGTGTATAGATACCAATCTATTATTTTGTATGCGGAACAACACTAAAGTAGCCTCACGCAGATGCCCAATCCACGGCACTTTATCATATAATTGTATTTGAAGGCAAAGCGCATACACAATCGGTACTGTTCTACACTAAACGTACAATTAAACGAGACTTAATGATTATAAGAAAAAATAACAATGTAAAGAGAACAGCGATTCTTTATAATTGAATATAAAGTTAAGTGTGAAATATTAAACCTTATAAGCAATAAGACAACAGAATACAGCACAGCAAATACATACAAACATACACATAATTGTAAGCAAGTCTACAGGCTCAACACTGGATGAATTAAAAATTCAGCATTATCAAGGGCTATGACGTTACAGCCTCGGACGTGTTACGCACGATGTGCAGGGAACATCATACTGACTTTGCCTGGAAACAGAGAGTCTACTCAGTATCTTGATTGAAGATCTTTAAAAAAATGAGTATAAATCATACGCACAATGACACTATTAACCACACAAGTCTTTCAATTACTAATTATTCTAAAACAAATATCATTTAGTATCAACTCTTCACTACACGAAAGAATCGTAATTTGTAACTTTGCAATTTTGAATCTCTGTAAAAACAATAATTTAACAGTTAGTTAAGTAATGATAACTTTAAAACTGTCTCTCATAAATCGAAGAATTCAATGGAAATTTTCCATTTTAGCAATTAAATCATTTTTGAAATATATTTCCGTATTACTTACATTATTTTATATACATTATATCCTTTCGATTTTTGTCAATGGATTTTAAGGCGTCTTTTTGACTCATTAAGAATCCATCCTAAATAATTAGATAATCTTCTTGTAATATTTTTTCTATTGTTTTTGAATTCTAGAAATGCATTTTTTGCATTGTTTGAGTTTAATCACTGTCTAGAAGTTCTATGGCTTGTCTTACTCTTTGGAAGCAATACTGCTGCTATGTCTGTCCAAGCCAATTATAAATTTTTTGACCACAAGAAATAAAATAGTAACCTCGTGTTTTCCATGGAATAGTTCTTTTCAAATCTTCATAACCGTTTATTAATAAAATTTTATCATTGTTTTCGCAAATTGCCATACTGATTTCTTTCAATTGTTTTGTAAATTAACATTCAACGAGTCAAACATTTCTTAACCAGAAGATATTTTTTCATCCAGAAAGTTTTGTGTACATTTGTTTTTGAATAAGTAGATTAAAACATTTACTTAATTCAGAATTTCATTACAAAGTTTTTTAAAGATTCAAAAAAGTAAACTTATCATATTAATTAATTAACTAATCCTTACTGTATAGTTACATTCAAGCTGCTACTTGCGTTTAATACTTGTTTTTAATAAAGAAAGTTTTTTAAATTAATAAAATAATCTTATCCTTCCAAAGCACATGCTTATTTGTTTATAATAATGATATCAATAAAGACACTGTACTCTATATTTTGAGCAGAATTTTTTTTTTGTGAGTGTATGCGTACAAATTACATTTTACTCATACATGCATATGCACTTTTCTCCATGCCAAATAAGTTGAACCTACCTTTAAAATTCGAACTTCATACCTCTATTATGAAGCGTGAATGC